CGCTAGCGTGAAGATGTTGAATGAGCCGATCGTATTCCTCGTCGATGTTATCGACAACGGCATCTTCTCAATAGCCGACTAATGAATTGAATGAATCCCAGTTCACGGTGGCTCTGGGACTTCGGTTTTTGAATTTAGCGGCTTTTTCTCCTTTCCGCGAGAAATAGAATCTTGCACGAAGGAGACGGTGATCTGATCCCGTGTAGGATTTTGGGACAACAGCGACATCGGTTAGGTAAAACTTTCTATTTACTATGACGTGGTCTCTTTCATTGTGGTACTCTCTATTGGAAGACTCCCACGTCCAGCGCATTCAGGGTGCGGCTGCTAGAATTGCGAGTTACCATGGATGGTCTTGGTCGCCATGATAAACTCAAATAGCCGCTCACCCTGTTCGTTCAACTCTAATCCGTGGGTCCCAACGTGACGCTCTTCAGACGTTGTTCTTGGTCCAGTCTTGGCGTTGAAATCTCGAATGATGACCTTCAAGAATGTGTCGTCTTCTCTGTAGAACTTCTCCAAGACCATATAGAACGCTTCGACTTCTTCTTCGTCATAATTTGATGTCGGCGCGTAAACGAAGATTGTCAAAGCCGGTATTGATCCACATGTTTTTAATCGTAAACGTCCGACTCGGGTTGTAAGTTGTTCGGATTTATCGATGTTCGTGGACAAACTCGTGTTGACGAGAACGCCGACGCCACCGACTCCTCTAGTGTCGCATGTTCCGAGGGACTGATCTTCTCCGGTGTAATAGACGGCGTTGAAAGGTTGACGTCTTCTCGTCTCGGCCAAACCGATAACGTCGTACCTTATACTTTTTGCTTGCATGAGCAAGTCTATCGAAGACTCGTAAGCAAGTGTACGTGCATTGTAGGTACAGATCGTCACCATAGTTCTTCGCGATCGAGACAGTTCCCATTTGTCCTGAGATTTTAGCAGCCTCTCCATGCTCGTCTTACCCAACGCTGCAAAATTTGGGGCTCTTTCGTGGTCAGGGGAATGCGGCCCGTTTTTTTTTCTGTGGTTAGTATTTTGATACTCATGTATAGCTTGCTGGACTCTGAACATGGAGGCTTGATATGCTCACGGATAACTTGCCAGTCTGTTCCAGAGTGGACATGGGGCTTATTTGTTGGAGGCGATTCCTAACCGCTTCCCATATATTTCCCTGTCACTTGATTTCAGGCTTTTGGCCGAATTAACTCGTAGAATAAAGTCCGCTTAAACTTGAACACACCTGCAGACGCGTGCATGAGTATACCTTGTAAATACAGAAAGTATGTGTCAAAGCGGCGCAGTAGAAGCAGGGAGTCCATTCCCTGGTTACACCTGCTTTTCAGGGAAGCAAAAGTCGCTTTTGGTCCACGATTAACCCTCTATCCGCCACCTGGGGACCTCGCGACTAACCGGCTCGAGATCCCTGAGTAATAATCTATACATCTGTAAATCTATAACACTTGCGTGTTGCGTTTTCCATTACACTATATTCTCGTAACATATTCGCGACTAAGCGCGTTGGTTACGAGATTTGATTGATGACGCCTAATTATTCACCGTGAAGCAACTCCTATTTTGATGTTATGGATTCGATAATTAGAGGACTTGAGTGATTATGAACATGGTAGAATTACAGAGACTTTGACATGCGGCCCAAGGGCTGTTCGCTCATCCAGCCATTGTTTTGTTTTGTTTTCAGTGTTTAGAAGTGTTTTGTAGCTTTAATTGAGTTTACTTCTGGGGTTTTATACGTGAGTTGTTAACAAGTTTAACGTTCTCAAATATTTTATTTATTGGAAAATTGTCGGCGTTTGTTGAAAAATGAGGTGGATTACGAATCTCTTAAGCACGTAATTCGATTGATGTTCTTTGCATACGTCGGATATTTTCTTTCTTGTCGTTGTGTAGTTATTGTTGGTATTTTATAAACGTCAGAAGTTGTCAGAAGTCATAAGAGGTCTGCATTTACCATTGAGCTTAAATATGTTATACTAACTTTGAGATCCAACTCAAGTTTTACTGAAAGACAGTGTATGTTAGTGAGGATTCACATGTTTTTTGGTTATTTCAAGGCATTTGACGCTACGCTCAAAAGGTGGGAGGAACAGAAAGAGCGAACAACAGCGCCTTCCACGCCGACCTCTCTGGCGGCCTCTTTGATGACAAACGGGGAAGAGCTGCCATTCTCCCGACGTGCCGCCGAATTCGTGCAGCTTGTCGAAAGTGAGATAGCTCAGTTAGGAGTAAGCAGTGGCTTTCTGGAAGCGCTTGAAGCAGCGGCGGTTTCTGTGCGAGCGGTCGAAGATGAGGTTTGTCCATCCTTTCATTGTTTACTAGGTATACTTACTTTGAATACTGTAATGAACTAACTAAGTTATCCAAAACAAAAAGCTCTACCAAAAACTTACTTAGTTATTTGGACTGTCTTTACGAGTTGTGTCAACTCCAGCGCGTTTTCCATTCGTTTCTTTGTCTCGCAGTTGTTGCTCATGGTGGTAGCTTCGTTCGAGAGTGGTGGCGGTTGAATGTGTCATACCGTAATGTGTAAGAAAGAAAACTGGAGCTGCGAATACGGCTGATTGGCTCTAGTTACGGATATGTCTACCAAACGTGTGGGTCGTTCGTTATCTTAGGGAACGCTTGCGTTCTGGTGGAGTTCAGTCCTTAGCTCTTTTCGTCCATCTTTCGTCTGTTCTTCCCATTATATCACCGACCCACTTATGTTTTGCTGTCGACGTATGTTTCGCTGGGTATCGAAGTTGAGATAGATCTCGAAGATCAGAGCTTCGCATTTGGCCAGAAGTTCTCTGTGCTGGCCAAGTTGCAGACGACATCGTCCAAGGGCTATGTGAGTAATACGCAGCATTCTTGACGTGGTTGAGGTGTTAGCTCAGGTTTCTCCTGCTTGACACCGCTAGAAGGATTGTTGAATTGAAAAGGTAGGCTTGGATTTTCGGGTCCTTCAGTTGGTCGGTAGCTCCTTTGAGAGTCCGGAATGCGGCCCATGCTGCTCATTATTTTTTGTCTAATAACTCTTTCATATCGTTTTCCATGTCCATTAAAAGCCCAAAGTATACGCATAAGGTTTTCTCTGTAATCAGAGAACCATCGAGTTTGATATGTTTGCCTTCACAGGGTTTTTCATGAACTGGTTCCTCCTCCCACTCGTAGTCCGATCCTTTTTCCCGCTTTTTTGAAATCATTGATCGTCTCCGATTCCTAGGCATTTCTTAAGAAGGTGACGATGTCATCGGTAAAACGAACATTTAGTAGAATTTTTCTATCAACGCGTATGTCCTTTTCATCTTAATAGAATGACTCCGTAATCTACTGCAATGCGCAAGTAAACAACTTTGGCGATATGGTATCATCTTGTCGAACCCCTTTTCCTATGTGTATGGTAAGGATTCGATGGAGAAGGTGCATTTTCGTGGTGCACTTCTTGTAACAGTCAGACAGAGTTTTTATTTAGGACGGATTCACTCCGTATTCAGCGAGCGCTGATAGGATTCCAACTATTTCGACGTCACTCTTTTTTATAGTCATCAGAAGTCAGGACCAGGGACAGGTGTTATTGCCGACAAGCTTCTGTGACTCTGAACACAGTTTCGATGTGGTTCATGGGGCAAAATTACTGTCGAAGTTCTGCTTGCTGAATAAACTGTGGTTCATCCAAGGTCTTCGAAATGCAAAGTAGAATAATCTTCGTGAATCATTTGTAGAGTACTCTCAATTAGCATATCGGACGACATTTACGAAGATCCCTTCGGTCACCTTTCTTGGACAAGATGACAGAGCTCCACATCAACTATTAATTACTACCATCATTAAATACTGTATTAAATTTCATCGTGGCCATAGTGTATAGGGTGTTTTTTCAGCATTTCTAAAGTTGTGTTATCAGGTCTCTACCGGAGCACGTGAGCATACTTTTGAGATTCCTATTTAATTCTGCTTCATTACAGTTTCGTGAATATTAACTTGCCTAGTGTTTGTTCTTGTTCACTCAATTCTTTGTATTTGTTTCTTCGTTGCACTAAAGAGCTTTAAGGTGTGAAACAACTCAACGGTTGATGCTTGTCAAGTTTAGCCCGATTGCAATGGTATGGAAGGTCAAGCACTTCGCGAAGAAGCTTTGAAGGCTATCGAATTAGTGGTAAATCGTCTAGAAGATCACTTTGGATGGACGGACCAAACAAAAGTGCCTGCTGGTCAACCCCGCCTTGGCCCTGCCCCGTTGTTCACTTTCGAAGTACATGTAAGTTTATTTTCAACAAAGAATGAAACCCTTTGTATCTACGTATACATCATCAAGTTTATTTGAACACAAGCGATTTCTGACAACTAATGTCATTCGGAGGCCTGTGACATGTTGAAATTTATTGAGACCCTTTACAAATAGGGTTTTATTCAGGTTAGGTCTTTACGTGTAAGGTTTTCTAGCGTACCTTTTCTTTAGAAATTGGTTTATCTGCAGAGAACTCGTTTTTCAAGTTAAGGCCTTACGAAAGAGTGAAGAGTGAAATTTTGTATAAACAATCTATTTAAAAAAGACTATAACAGAAAGAAAAGAGAGTGGGGAAAGAAAAAAGAAAAAGAGGAAGTGAAGAAAAGGAGAAAGAAAGAAAGAAGGAAGAAAAGAAGGAAGAATTTTTAAACAAAAAACTATTTTAAAGAGTTGGGAGAAGGCATAACTTACTATTACACATGAGTGCACTAGCTGTATGGTTCCATATACATATATACAGGTATTGTACCTTAATAAATTCTATAATACCAACCTCGAGCTCTAATATGGGATAAGCTTCGATTGTCTGAGATTTGCATTCCACATGGACGTGGTGTGTACACGTTAGATTTCAGATTTCAGATTTCAATCATTCTACTGTGCCAAGAAGAGTTTTCAATGTCCATCGGTAACTTGTAGTTTTTCCGAAAAATGAATTTCCATGGAAAAGACTTGGTGTAGATCCTATTTTCATTTTTGTTGACCCTTCCGAATTTGTTATAGAAGTCTTCAACAGCGATTTTATAAAGGAAATTCCGATGCGAATAACTTTCTCCAATTTGTTATAGAATTGGATATTGTTGACGTGTATTGTAGGTACAAATCGTCACCTTAGTTCTTCGCGATCCAGGCAGTTTCCATTTGCCCTGAGATTTTAGCAGCCTCTCCTTACTCCTCCTACCCAGCGCTGCCGAATTGGGGGCTCTTTCGAGGTCAGGGGAATGAGGCCCGTTTCTATTACTATGTTTAGCGTTTTGATCCCCACGTATAGCTTGCTGGGTTCTGAACGTGGAAACTGAGTATACTCACGGGTAGTTTGCCAGGCTCTCCCAGAGTTGACATGGAGCTTATTTGTTGGAGACGACTCCTAACTGCCTCCCATATATTTCCCTGTCACTTGTTTGCAGGCTTTTGGCCAAATTGACTCGTATAATACAGTCCGCATAAGCTTGAACGCACCCACACACGCATGCATGAATACGCCTCGTAAATACAGGAAGGATGTGCCAAATCGGCGCGGCAGAAACAGGAAACCCATCGCCTGGACGCATCTGCGTCACAGGGAAACAAGATTGCGTTTGTCCACGATTAACCCACTATTGCCACATGGGAATGCGCCACATTGCATCACTGCTGACTAGCACGACTCCAGCCGTACCTAGCGTACGACAGTTTGGCGTATGGCACGTCCCAAGTAAAATTACTGGTTGCTGAGTACCAGTTGATAAGACTGACTTTGATTTTAACTGGAATTTAGAGACGGAGATTGTCGAGGTGAGTTTACGGGATCTATTATGAGATGAGGTGATGGGATACAGATGGATGAGCGGAAAAGTTAAATCAGCGACATGCCGTGGCGAAATTTCTCTCCTATGAGTTGCAATGGTACTGTCATCTAAGTGGTAGATGTCTATCTTCCTGTTTTTGTTCTTTTTAGAGCGATCATATAGAATTACGAAAACCAGCACCAGGGTCCACTACCGTCCTAGTATCATGCTAGTCGGATGGTGGCAAATCTCCCTCTGATCCACAAAGGCGGCGACTGCCTGTGGTAGTGACGATCTATTGCAGACTTTGGCCAGGTTGACGTCGAGACTCCAGGGAATCATATAGTGGGTAAACCAACAGAACTCCGAAAAAGTGTCTGTGCTGGGGACCCGCAATCCAATAAGGACGGGCCGTCTAAGTGCCCAAGAAAATATCCATGTAGAAATATATAGAATTTGATAAGACCACCTGGCTCTTGAAGAGCCTGCTGATCGGTATCCGAGGAAACCGTTCTATCCTTATACGAGCAGAACGAGAAGCAGTCCTCATGGCGTGGCGTGGACACGTTTGTTTGGCTTAGCTATGGCATTACTCAGACCGTCACTACAGTCAGTCGTCTGTCTTTGTAGATTAGAAAGCGATATGCTGCTTTGCGCTGGTGAGGGTAAGATAAACCACTCTACATCGCTTTGTAAAACAGGAACACTCCTCATCCACGATGTCAGTTACTAAGCCATTGGAAAATTATAGACGTACAGTAGATGGACGATGGATGTGAGGACGAGTCGTATAAAATAAAAAAATATATATTATGAAAATAAATGAGCAAATACATATGTATATATATGTGTGTACGTGTACATGCACACATATATATATATATGTATATATATATATATATATATATATATATATAAATGCATACATACGTACAATCGCGGTTATATAAAAAGTTCTTTGAGAAAGAAGTGAGCTATTAATGAATGAAGTGCCTTCTTAACTAGTGTATTCTTCGTAGTTGTTTCTTCGCGGGTTAACAATAATCTCGTTTTATGCGTTTCCGAGAACTGATGAATACAATATGTGCTTATTTTAACATGGTTGTTCTTTAATTGACTTCGCCTGTATAATCACATGCCAAAAAATTACTCAACGTTAACTTTCTTCTTTATGAATACGAATTACGAATCTTTACGAATATGTACTTTGAACCCTCTGTTCCTCTATTCGGGTTTGACTTTAGGATAGATCATCGGAAACGCATTATTTATGTTAGAGAAAGAGGTTATATAGCCAATGCAGAGGGTTCTTTGTGTTTACTCTAGCTTTTCTTCCATCACTAAGGAGGAATTTATTAGTTTCTTTTGATCACTGTTCCTCCTTAAACAGGGCGACGAACCAGAGCATTGGCGATACGTGTTGTGCAGCATCCGCCAGGCGATCAGCAGGGAGGAGGCAGCCTTGAACGAAATAAGAATAGTGGAACGCCGTCAACGTAAGCGAAGTCGTTTAACTGGTTGGATTACTCGGAAGTTGCGACGCAACTCTGGCGCACCGTCTACACCTGGTGAATAACGCAGTTTTTTTTTAAATTTGAAACTAAACTGGATGTTGACTTCTCCTCTAGCGTCAAGAACTAGGAACACTTGTTTTCCATTCAAATTAGCCTCTTGCTGGCTTTGATTTTGTCACTCCTGCAAGATTTTTGTTACTTTTGTTTACTGCAAGGTAACGTTATGCCATATCAAGCATGTGTCTTCAACCTGCTAAAGAATTTCTTTAGTCACCAGCTGGTCCATAAAGGAAGTGTCAGCGTGGTTAAATTCCCTTGGTTTGTCGCAATACAGCAGTCAGTTTGAAGCAAACGATATTCGTGGGCACGAGTTGATCCATCTGGAATGGACTGACATGAAGGATCTTGGTGTGCATAAAGTTGGACATGCTAAAAGACTGCAGGTGGGTAACTGGTATGTACATGAACATTCGGTGGTATTCTTTTTCCCATTTTAGTCTTGCCTTGCTAATGTTTTTGTGGAAAGCTTTTGACATACGACATACAGCACATATAATATACAAATGTTATGTAAATGAATCCTATAGGGAGAAAATATGCACCAGCTGCTAAATCCAATAATCATTGGATTTCAGTAGGTTTTAATCGTTGAAATTTCTCAGAATGTTCCCAGAAAGTACTTGTCAAGTCTTGACACACGTAGTGCAAGCTTGGCAAAATCATCAGTTTCATCACATTATTTCTTTGTTGTGGTCACCTCACCGTGAATGAAGACTTTGCACTACATTATTTTCTCTGCCTTCTAACGACTTACCACTTCATCATGGCCGTGAAGTGTTCCTGGGTGTCGGGCTACGATGTGCAACCGGGGGATTCATCCTCCTGGCAGGTCCTTCTAAGCTGAGGAGTTCGGCGTTTCCATAAAAAAGCCCACTTAAGAGTAAACCAATACCAGGATCCACCACCGTCCTGGTATCAAACTAGTCACGTGGTGGCAATTCTCCCTCTCATCCAGAAGAGCGGCGACTGCCTGTAATTGTGACGACCTGGGGCAGTCTTTATCTAGGTGAGCCTAAGGGCTTCAGGGAACTACAATGGTTAAACCAGCAAAACTCCAAAGAAGGTCCGCGCAACCAGTGTGGACGGCGCATCCAACTATCCGAGTAATTAGGGTTTCTTTCTGCTGAAAGCGAAAAAATCTTTACGGCCTTGTTTGGATGCAAAATAGGATTTATAAAGTGCTTAAGGAGCTCATCTCTCTCCAGTTGCAGAAGTGAACTGTTGTCGTGTAGGAGTCGTGTAGGAACCACTTTTTATCACACGTGATAGGTAGTATGATCGAAAAATGCGTTGTTTTTGTAGCGTGAAAAAGCGAAAAACTGACTTCGCGGCTACGATTTTGCTGCCACTCGTTCAGTTCATATGGTATTCATTTATCGAGTTATTTCACATTTCCACTGTCTTGAAAATGACGAGCGATTGTTGATTCGGCAATGTTAAGTTTTTCTGCAGTCCAACTCGTGATTTTTAAAGGTTCAGAAATTAAAATTTAAAATTAAAGGTGCAAAAGTAGCCCGTTCTGCGCGCTGTAGACAATTGGAGACCATCATTTCTCTTCTCTAGGGTCTTCGTGATGAAGTCTGGCCATTAGATCAGTTGTCTTCCTGCTTTGCGCAAAATAAGGTGTTGTCCAGTCTCTTATCTACCGATTGTAGTTAACAAAAATCACGTCTCGCGATCACTTATTTTCCACATCTTTTGGTATACCACAACTGGTTATAAAGTTATATTGTGGAAGATCTAATGACCACACCACAATTCCTGATCAGTGGATCAGGTCACGAAGTCGATTTGATGGCAGACACAAGAATGGATGGACAATAAAATAATAATAAGAGATGAAACTCTCGGCGTTGATCAATCTCTGTGGGATCAGCCATGCATTCGACTTCACTAATAATCGTTGGAGATGACTGAATGGACATGTAGCCTTTACAATGACTCGCGGTGGCCTACTGATGTATTGAGCCAGTGCTTCTATGCTCCTAGACAAGTCTTGTACCGATTTACCGACCCCGGAGGGATGGAGGGCTTGGTGAGCCTGAGACGCGGAGTTTGATCCCATGTTTATTGCAGGCTAGCTCGGACCACTGCGCTACATGTGCCCTCTGAATGGACAATATTTGGCGTAAATCTCATTCGTAAGCGGGATTACCATTCATTAGTTGGGCCACAGTGGCTTGTAATGGAAACCATTACTGAAATTCATTTAGGAGTTTAATGGGAGCAAAAGCATTTTTATTATAGCTTGCAATCATCCCGCATTCTGTATTCTGTCATCATTCGTGAACGTTTGTAGTATTCATTGCAAACACTTAAAGTATAAGCTTCTGAAACAACACTCTTAGCAAAGCTCTTATGCAGAGGTCATGCCCTAAAATTTATGTAGTTTCGAGCGAATTATTCTAGGACACACAGCGTTAATAACAATGTTCTCTGGGTAAATGTTTCGCTTTTTCCTTAATGTTTCATTACGTTTGATCTTATATGACTATCCTTTCATCGAAGTGTTTAGTGTGTGTTCGAATTAGTCCTCAAAGATGTGACATTTCTTTTCATTTCCGTGTTTAGTGCGCAATCGCCGAGTTGCGAAAGAAGGAGGTGGAACTGTGCCGCGAGAGTCGCCGAAGCGGACGAAAAGGAGCTAGTCTTTCCGTCGAGCGTGCTTCATTGGAACCGGCTCCGGAGCTGCCAAGTTTGAGCAGTGTTTAAAACTTGGATTCCATTCATTTCACTCACCAGTTTTCGAATTTTTAAGTATTCTGAATGCGTTTGACATGACATTCTTTTGGAAATGCTTACGACTTGTCGCTTCTTGCTGACGTTAATATTTTGTGGTCTAAATCCATTAGGTGAAAGAAATGAATGGAATAGAATGGATAATTTTCGAGAAACTCAAGCTTTTAACGTCGTTTGTCGTCTAGACGAGTTTCTTTCGGCCCTCTGGTCGGCGATATTGCCATAAGCAAGCAATAGTGCAATCTGGGTATTAATTTTTTTGTGCTCACAATGTGATCTCTGTCCTCTGTCTCGTTAACTGACGTAGTTACACGAGCTTCTCATTTCATCATTGCTTTCTTCTTGCCATTCCTGCTGTATACTTTATTTTAACACCATTTATTAACCGTTTAAGTGTGGACATACTGTTTGTAATTTTTCTAAATGACATTATTTTATCGTTTGTAAGTGCTACTAATCTTTTCATATCTAACACATTGACTTCCGAAGGACAAGATGTTGTTGACAGTACAGCAGACTCTAAGGGATTGCGTTTCATAATTCAATATAGGAATTGTTACGTGATACGTCAATTTCTCCTTACGTTTGTAATCGAAGCATTCGATTTGAGAGCGAAGTAGGTGGGGCGGTTATCCCGCAGCATTCACTATCGCTTTGGGCTTTTTTTTAAACGATATGCTTGCTTTAGCTCTATACCTCTAGCATGTTACGTGGTTCTTTTGGAAGCTTTACAATATTGTCACGCGTCTGGGAAGGGAGTTCGGCCCTGGTCATGAAATAATTTATTATAGTCGATTGCCTCGATTTGCTCGTCATGAATGATGCTTTATGTGCAAATGTGCAATGTCTTAATAGGATTTAAATCAACATTATGATTTGGTAAGGAATGTTAAATTATTAATATTGGCTGTTATTTATGCTATATTCATTGTTTAGGTACTGTTCGGTGATTCTTTCGTTTTCTTTGTGATCCTTTTTTTTTGCTCTAATCTATTTGATTTGATATACACGTCGTTGTCTAGTTGCGTACACGTGTTTTCAAAGTACTTTCTGCCTACTTCAGAAAATCTAACCGGTATTCCTTTACTAGCTGTCGAAATTCTTCTGTTTCGAAGTCTTTGTTATAAATATTGAATTATTCATGAAGTTGCCGTCCTACGATATCTACTCATCCTTTCTCTCACTCTAAGGATCTACTTCCACTCACTTTGCTTCTTTCCTTTCTCCATATACTATTTTCCATATACTATATATTCTATTCGACAGCAGCTTTCATAAATTATTTATAATTCTATTTATATCCAAGTCGGAATGAGTAGCGCTGAAGTCGAATTGCTCCTTTAAGTGCTACTGCCAACAATCCCCATGAAGCCGAGAAGTGTGGAACAAGGTTATCAGTCAGCGCGACATTACGTGCGGGTGCCCATCGTACTGTGTCCACTAACTGAATGCTGGTTGAAGCGCGATTCACGATGAAGAGACGTCCTGAACCAGAATTTTCCCTACAGTAGTTGTGTTTAACTAAAATTTTAATAACTGTGGCAATCTTGGGATTAATTTCAATGATGCTGGAGATATTTGCAAAATTCCGGACCGCAGATGTCTGCGGTGGGCAACGAACGCGCTATTGCCCTTTCCGGGGAGTAACGCGTTCACCACCACACCATGTGGGTCCTTCGTTTCGTCTGTCTCTCAGCTAATTCTAAACTGTGATCGTTTATTACCGATAGTAGTTCAAGAAGATACAAAATTATCGAAGTTGAAGTTATGTTTCGCAACATACCCTCCCGTTAAAAAGAATAGGCAGTAAATAGAAATGTTAAGCTTGAGATTAATTTTAAAGATATTGTAACCGACTAATAACCCGAACTATTAATACGAGTACGTTATTGAAGCCAAAAGTCATGACATTAGTACTATTAGTTCTTTCATACGTGCTTCATATTAAGTATAGAAGAAAAGCGGCTATCTAATTGGGGTTAAAATTGAAACATACCCGCCTCGTCCCGCGTTATAGCACCTGGTCTTTCACAGATGGCCAGGCGACGGCGATCCACCACTTCTGATTCACGCACTGAGAATTGCAGGGCATACCCCAGTTTACCTGAAAATCGATCGATGCACTTCGCTAGGCCTTCAGGAGTCAAGAGCAATCTATACATATATAGCTTTATAATGTTAACTTTTTATTTACTGCCTTTTACAAGTTTTCATGGCAGGATATTATTTGTGAAACAACCACAATGATGCTGAGATATTTGCAAAACTCCGCACCGCAGGCGTCTGCGGTGGGGAACGACCGCGCTGCTGTCTTTTGAGGGGAGTAACGCGTTCAACAACACTCCATGCGGGTCCTTCGTTTCGCCTGTCTCTCAGCTAGTTCTATCGATCACTGCCAGCAGCAATCACCTGTCAACAGGATTGATCTGGGGAGCCCAAATCAGCACTGAACCTAGTTAAGCTGAGTGTATAGCTTGAGTTCATAATGTTCACTTTTTATTTACTGCCTTTTGCAAGATCAATCCCGTTGGCGGGTGATTGCTGATGGCAGTGATCGAAAGAACTAGCTGAGAGACAGGCGAAGCGAAGGACCCGCATATTTGTGGTCCGGAGTTCTGCAAATATCTCAGCATCATTGTGGTTATAACTTTATAGTTACTTCATTAATATTACCCATCCGTAACTAAGGTGCTCTGAAGATTTGTTTTTATTTTAAGCCCGTCTGCCATAAAACGTGTTGAGCTTGGGTCTAGCTTCTCGACGGAATATGCTAGCACTGCTAAATCTACGGCATGGATGTTTTCAAGAACGGTGACCGCTAATTAAGGATAAGAAGAATACTACTAGTCTGTTATTTTGAGTTCATTGTGAATTTCCGCTTCGATAGTTCTTAACTCTATGCGTATTTAAGTTCTACCTTCAACGACAAGAATCTGGGTAATTGGCCCAACGACGGCAAATGCAAGCATGTCTAGATAGCTCTCCGAAATCCGATACTGCAGTTCCGTCCACTGGCCAACAGGTGTCAGTTCGTATAGCGCTGAGAACATCTGTAAATTGTTAGGTCCTACGTCGAAATGGTGAATTAATATGATCGGAGCACTCAGAAAAACAACTAATGATCAGCTTAGTTAGGATGTAGTGAAACATTAATTAACGAATTTGACGGTTACGTCGGCGAGTTAGATTAGGGTGAGGCAACATTTTTAAAATCTTGCTTTTATTTTTTATATCCTTGTTGTGCAAACGCGAGGTGTTACTTTATACTTTATTCAAGAACAAGCTGACGTTTCGCCGGATATCGCTTTCCTCAGAGCCTGGACAGGTTAAGTTGACTGCAATCTACCCTACTAAACACCTCCATAAGCAAACAGAGAAAATACCATCCAGAAAGCCTCGAGAGTTCTGCGCGCTTGTGTTCTCGATTCATGTGCGAGGATCGTAACCACTACTTCAAAATCCTCCCCGTTATGTCTCTGCGTCTTACGCGTGCCTAGTGGAGTATTTGGTTTAAGTTTACCGACTAGGTGTTCTTTTATACGGACACAGAGTGATCTACCCGTTTGGCTAATGTGTTCGTCTCCGCACGATTTACAAGAGATTTGATGCATTTCTCAAGATCGACTTTCTATTAACCTATTAATCAACTCTATTCACTTTCTATTAACGGCATTGGATTCTAAATGTTTCGTTTTCTTCTTCAGCAATCGCGAAGTTGTTATTCAGCACGCGTTTACTTCCATACAAATAGAACACATACAACACAACGGTAACTGACGTTTCGGCAGAATCGCCTTCTTCAGAGCCGCTTTTTTTCCCCTGTCTTCCACCGAGGAAGAACAGCCGTTCAGAGCCGCATATGGTTAACGACCGATCAGATAGACCAGATCAGATACACTGTATCCGAACCCATGCTATCCGAATCACCTTCTCTACCGTGAGAGCAAATTATGCAATTTTGCGTCGTACATAGACGGTAATACAGGCTGTTGCCAACTAGTTGGCTTGTTAGATTGCTCGGTGGTATTTCGATTATTCTTACCGAATTCTCTATACCGGCATATCTTAAACAGCGTGTTATAACTGCATCTAATTCGTTTGAGATGGAGGTCAGGATAAATGAGACCTTCTTATAGCTAGAGTTATCGTTTCGGGGCCTCGACTTTCCTCTACATCTATCTCGAGGAGCTACAGTTTCGTAGCCATTGGAAATGGCTATTTGCCGCGCCAGTTTCCGGGATTCTTCCTTCTGCTCTCTTCCTATGCATAGGCTGTTCGAAACGTGTTTCTTACAAGCGCCCTTTTCGTGTGGGAGGGGTGAGAGGAGAAGTAATGAACCAAGATGTTTCTACTAGGCTCTCGGTACTATTTCGTAGTATAGCCGTTTTCTGATAGGTTAATTTGCACGTTCAGAAATGGAAGCCGGTTTTTTGCTGGTTTCTCTCAGGTGAATTTACCATACTCTGACTGTTCGTTCAACAACTCAGAACACTTGTCAATTTCCTCTTGTGTTGAACAAATGACCAAGCAGTCATCTATATATCTACAGTAGAGTAACGACCCAAGATCGATTACTAGTGCTTCCACCTTAGACATAAACGCTATGGTAAGGCTTGGTGCCAGTCGTTGTCCGATTGCCAACCCTCTCATTTGTGCATAGTACTTCTCGGACCATCAGAAGATTGAGCAGTTTATGCATTCCTTTAAGAGTGTCATCAACTGCTGAACCGTGAAGCCACAAATGTTTAATTCTCCTTCGCGTTCTATGAGGAGTTCGAGTATGGCTTGCTTACCGGAGTCATTCGACACGTTTGTATAAAGGGCGGTGACGTCGAAAGACTCCATCACGTACGCGCTGTTGAGTCGCGCGTTACGTAGACGTAGATCCAGGAACATCTGGGTGTTCGTTTGATCGGCTGGAATATACTTCAACAACTGAGTAAGTATTAAGGTTGTTAACCACGTTATTCTATCCGTTGGCTTGTCCATGCAGCTAATAATAGGTCTAACCTTAAATAACGATGGACCGGTAGACACGAGATCATCGCTGGATACTAGTTTATGGGTTTTGATAAGTAAGTACAGAACGGGACCTGTTGGTAAGTCAATTTTGAGATAAGAGGTAACTGATGGTTTTAACCCAGCCGCTCTTACCATTTTAACTCATTCGCTGTTTAATTTTCGGTATTGACTTCAAAATTCCTTGTCAGAAGATGGACGATAAAGGGAAGCATCTTCAGAATGCTTTTCCGTTACCTCAAAACGGATAGTCTTATGTTTTTCAACCTTATCAGCTCATGTACCTTGCACATACATTTTTGCACTTCTGTGAGGTTGGAGCGATATGTTTTCGCGCGATAGCGACTAAGGACTTTGAAAGTTTCATTCGCAAATATCTGAAATTTAACGTCTACTTCATGTAGAAAAGGGTGAGTATGGCGCAGTAGTTGGAGGCGCCACTGCGACACACATGGAATCGATCTCCGCTCCCATGGCCCACCAAGCTTTGCATCTCTCCGGAGTCGATAAATTGGTACCAAACTTGTCTGGGAAGATAGCAGCACTGGCTCGATACATCGGTAGGCCACCGCGAGTCATTGTAAAGGCCAGATATGTATTCAATCACCTGTAAATGGTGCTTGATAAAGTCGAATTCATGGCGCGCATCCCTCATGGATTGATCAACGCTGAGAGCTTTGTCCTTTTATCTACTTCATGTAGACGTCCTCTCTCTTCGTCCTTGCTTTTATGTTTGTACATTTTCACGAATCTTCGTTGGAGAGATCTTGTCACCTAGTAGTTAGTGTACGTGGTGGTACATCTTCAAATGGAGTTAAACGCTTACGAAATGAGGCCTTGTGCTCCTCCTGAGATCCAGGTGGGGGAATCATGGACTCCCGTTTCTGTTTCCTGGGTTAACGTATACACGTATACCTTCTGTGTGCACATTTTTATGCGTGAGTACATAAATGAGAACAGCGGATTGTATCGTGTCAATGCGGCTAAAAGCTTATATTCAAGTGGAAAAGAAATGCATGAAGAGTGGTTCGTCGTTTCACCAAGAAATAAGCGTCACATACTGGAAGCGCTCCACAAGATGCTCACGCGTTGTTTTCAGTAAAAACTCAGATCTCATTTTCCTAGTCCCGAAAGGACCTCTCATGCGGCAGCGCTGTGTAGAACGAGCCTGAACAGGCTCGTTAAAATCTCAGAACATTTCAAGCCCTCCTAAACTTGGATAGATTATGTTGACGATCTGTACTTACAAAACATGTACTGCAGCATAAAAATACTCCGTTGAGGATCAGATAGTACTACTAGACCAGTGGTGTTAGTCTCATCACCAAATAAGGTCAGCCACCAACATTAACTTTTTTGAACAAACAACGAAGCCATTCTTCTATAACGGAAAATATATAACTTGAATGGTGCTGAGATTTTTGCAGAACTCCGGACCACAGGTGTATGCGGTGGGGAACGAACGCGCTATTGTCTTTTCCGGGGAGTAGCCCGTTCACCACCACATTACGCGGGTCCTTCGTTTCGCCTGTCTCTCAGCTAGTTCTATCGATCTTTTGCCATCAGCAATCACCCGTCAGCGGGATTGATCTGGGGGGTCCAAATCGGCAACGAAACCAGTTAAGCTGAGGCCGCAGTTATAATCACAATTTTAACTTATTATTTACTGCCTACTGTTTTTAACGGCAGGGTATACATTGTGAAATATAACTTCAATGGTGCTGAGATATTTGCAAAACTCCGGACCGCAGGTGTATGTGGTGGGGAACGAACGCGCTATTGTCTTTTCCGGTGAGTAGCGCGTTCACCACCACACCACGGACCCTGCCGTTAAAAATAGTAGGCAGTAAATAATAAGTTAAAATTGGAAAAGATATAGTTTAATTCCGGCTTTAACGATAGTCATTGACTAGAATTAGATGAAATGAACTACAAATGCAGTAATATCTCTGTATTTTTGTAGATCTAAGTATAATATTCTCTATATGAACCAACATCACAGGTACTGCGTGGATTCCTGGGGCATTTTGCATTCGATTCGTTTCCTTGCATACATCACCCACAAAAGGGTCCGGATTTCGTGCGTGGGTTGGGATTCCGTTGAGGATTTTCGTGTTCGTAATGAATGTCGTTGAATGCCAGTCGAATCAATTCTCCTTGGAGTTCTGGAGTAGCCTCGCTAGAAGGTTCTACGTGTATTGGACAGAGTAAACTGAGACCTTGAAAGAAATGAAAAGTCTTGCACAAACTTCCCTACTCTGGAGCGATGATGGAATTGGTGGGTCTGGGCGAGTTTACTGCAGCATCCTACTCATGATGAACACCAGTATTATCATTGCGCCATACGCGCTCTATAGGTCCAGGATAGCCAATCATGTATACTTACAGAAGTTTTTAAAAAAATGAAATGTTCTGACCGGAATGGAACGAATCTGGTGAAAGGCTATCCAAGTTTATCTTGATTACCAAAAAAACCAATCCTGGTCTAAATTGACCATTTTAGCAAACCAATTTCTGGTTTCTTCTAAACCATTACATGGGATCGGACTCCCGCCTCCTCCAGATAAGTTTCCTTCTCTCAGAATGAAGAGTAAGATCAGAAATTCCAAAAATGAAACGCAAAACCGTCTCAAAGTAACATTCGTTCAAATACATTATCGATTTTTGAGAAGATACTGCTATCGACAACATCGATGAGGAACGAGAAATTTATTCAGTACCTTCATGGTGAGGCTAAAAAGCAGAGTTTTGGTATTTGTTAAGAGATTTGTCAGAAAACCTAGAGTTGTAGACTAATGTGGACTCGCAAGAGTTTTCAAGCAAACTTGCAATGCTTTGTTGAGAAGCGAGAAAGAATATTTCACAGACGTAATAGACGCAGTAATGGTCGATACTGATGAAATAATACAACAACCGGATTATTCTAAGAGCAATTTTTTACACTATATAGTGTACTGTTCGATTACCAAAAAGATCCACAAGGTTGCTCCATACCGTGGAGTCACGTACAAGCCACACGTATCACACCAACGGAGATCTTTGATTTAACTTTCTCTCAGGTAAGTTTCTACTCCATTGGTGCTATCAGCGACTCTAGCTAGCTATTTGATACATGAATGAATAGGTCACCGTAAGTTATCGTATAGGCCAGATATGCATTAAATTACCTCTAAGAAAGCTTGGTGAAATCGAATCCATGACACATCCCTCATGGATTTATCAATATCGAAAGCTTTATACCTCATCCTTTGATGTTAATTCTATCAAACATTAGTCCAGAGAAGTAGATTTGACTTTGTATTTGCCTTTGCCCATATAAATGTTAGCTTTCACCCACAAGAAATACAGTACACTTAAACCGACGTCATAGTGATTCTGACTATTTATAAGTGGAAAATATTGAAGAATAACCAAACAAAAAGGGTAAAATTAGTGTTTTAAAATTCCGCAGTTCCTCTACCATGTATGTGAAGCCTAGTCGTTTAGGATTCAGTGATTTCAAACTACTCGGTCTTTCCACTTTTTTTTGATGTTATTGATCGATTGCTGACGCTTCGGCGACTTCGTTTTCCTCAGAGCCTGGACGTACTTTATGTTAGAATACTTTTTATTATTCGGTGGAAAAGAAGGTTGAAGTATTAATGAAGATCAAACTTTCAAATAGACGCTATACTGAACAGAAGGGCCACTCACCGTGATGTTACGTGCGGGACTGGCCCACACCCAGCTATCGCGAGCAAGACACGCCCCGGGGTCAAAATATCATTTTGAAATAGGGCCCCATATCACGCGTGATAGTGAGGCATTCGTTCTTCTGGTTCATCTTTGGATTTTTGAAATTTATCCAAGACGTCTCAAGAGTTTTGCGCGTTGATGTTTTCGATTCCTGCGCTGGGATCCGCACATTCACTTCAAAATCATCACCGTTGTGCTTTTGTGCTCTATGCGCATCTAGAGGGGTGTTTAAACGGCTTTCCCATCTAGATGTTCTTTTATGCGGACACAAAGTGGTCTACCCGTTTCCCCGATATATTCCTCGCCGCATGCATTACATGAGATCAAGTATATTATACCTAAACTCATGCAATCCCCGTCTCTCCCGTTAGGACAGATCATACAGTTTTCTAAGCTGCACAAACGATCATAGAGACTGTTTCGAACTAACTGGCGGCGTAGGGAATTGGGTGGGATGTCAATAATCGTTACATAATTTTCAAGACCACTTTTTCTTAAGCACTTTTTAATGGCGTGACTTACTTCATTTGATATGAAGGGCAGCTTAAAGGGAATCTTATTTTCGTCTGAAATATTATTTTGGGGAACTACCCAGTGTTTTCCTCTAACCCGAGTGGCTTCTACTTCGTAGCCATTGGAAATGGCAATTTTTCGTGCCAGGTTTCGCGATTCCTTCCTTTCCTCTTCTCCTGTGCACACATTTTTAGCCGTACGATACATATTTTTGATAAGTGCTTTTTTCATGTGTGAAGGATGAGAGGAGAGGCAGTGAACTAGAATGTTTTTACTACTTGGCTTGTGATACCATTTTGTTACATAGCCACTTACTGAGAGCTTTATTTAAATGTTTAAGAATGGAAGCCAGTTCTCGGTAGGTTTTTCTCGTGTAAATTTTATATACTCTGACTGTCGGTTTAATAATTCAAAGCACTCATCCATCTGTTCTTGTGTGGAACAGACGATGAAGCAGTCGTCTATGTATCGACAGTAGAGTAAGGGTCGGTGACCGAGAACTGGAGCTTCCACCTTAGACATGAAAGCGATGGCAAGGCTTGGTGCTAACCGCTGCCCCATCGCCAACCCTCTAATTTGTGCAAAATATTTTCCAGAACACCTAAAGATTGAACAATTAAGACACTGTTTTAAGAGGGTCATTAGTTGCACAATCGACAAGCCGTGCATTTTTACTTTCTTTTCATGCTCTACGAGCAACTTGAGAATGGCTTGCATTGGGGAGTCATTGGACACGTTGATATAAAGTGAAGTAGCATCGAATGACTCCATTATATGAGTGCTGTTTGGTTGCGCGCGCGTTAGGTGATCTAGAAATATTTTCGTGTTAGGTAGATGGGTTGGAATGAATTTTAGCAGCTGGGTTAGGATAAGGTTTAGGAACCACGTTATTCTATCCGTTGGCCCGCCTATACCACTGATGATAGGTCTAACTTTATATAATGGTGGGTTCGTTGACGTAATATCATCAGTTCAAGTNTGGTTGCGCGCGCCTTAGGTGATCTAGAAATATTTTCGTGTTAGGTAGATGGGTTGGAATGAATTTTAGCAGCTGGGTTAGGATAAGGTTTAGAAACCACGTTATTCTATCCGTTGGCCCGCCTATACCACTGATGATAGGTCTAACTTTATATAATGGTGGGTTCGTTGACGTAATATCATCAGTTCAAGTAAGCTTATGTGTTTTAATAAGCAAGTAAAGGGCAGTGCAAATTGGATGTTCGTTCTTAAGTCGAGAAATAACTGAAGGCTCTGAACCCGCGGCCTTTGCCGTGCTGACCCATTCTTGATTCAATTTTCGGTATTGATTTCTGTATTCCTTTTCAGAGGATGTTCGATAGAGAGAAACATCATTGAGGTGCTCCTCTGTTATCCTAATATCCAAATGACTAGGAAGAACTGCAAATTCTCCGCCTTTATCACTAATAGAAAGTTTAACAGATTTTGAATTCAAAAGCTCTCTAACCTGGCGCATACCACATTTTTGTTGGTGTGTGAGGTTGGAGCTTCTTTTTCGTTTTTGTTAGTGATTAAATATGCGGAGAATTTCGTCCGAAAACAAACGAAATGTAGGGTCAATATCGCTATTTGGTAGCTCTTGTTTAGAGAAAGTTCGGGGAAAGGGTAGTGGTGGTAGTTCCCTCCTTGATACTACTTTACCTAACCTTTCTAGCCTAACCCTGTAACGTAGCTGATCTTGAAGTTCATGCACTCTACACGTGATCCTGCGCAGGATTGGTTCAGAAACGGGTTGACTAGGTGCACTTTTTAATGGTGCCATTAAGAAAAAGTGGTCTTGAAAATTATGTAACGATTATTGACATCCCACCCAATACCCTACGTCGCCAGTTAGTTCGAAACCGTCTCTATGATCGTTTGTGCAGCTCAGAAAACTGTATGATCTGTCCTAACGGGAGAGACGGGGATTGCATGAGTTTAGGTATAATATACTTGATCTCATGTAATGCATGCGGCGAGGAATATATCGAGGAAACGGGTAGACCACTTTGTGTCCGCATAAAAGAACATCTAGATGGGAAAGCTAAAATCCGTTTAAACACCCCTTTAGGTACGCATAGGGCACAAAAGCACAACGGCGATGATTTTGAAGTGAATGTGCGGATCCTAGTGCAGGTATCAAAAACATCAACGCGCAAAACTCTTGAGGCGTTTTAGATAAATTTCAAAAATCCAAAGATGAACCGGAAGGACGAATGCCTCACTATCACGCGTGACCTGGCGCCCTATTTCAAAATGATATTTTGACCCCGGGGCGTGTCTTGCTCGCGATAGCTGCGTGTGGGCCAGTCCCGCACGTAACATCACGGTGAGTGACCTTTCTGTTCAATATGGCGTCTATTTGAAAGTTTGATCTTCATTAATACTTCAACCTTCTTTTCCACCGAATAATAAAAAGTATTCTAACATAAAGTACGTCCAGGGTCTGAGGAAGGCGAAGTCGCAGAAACGTCAGCCATCGATCAACAACATCGAAAACAACGACAACGACAACGACAACGACAACGACAACGAAGATCTCTACCAACCTCGCGGCAGCTTAAGAAGATCAGTTTATAAGATCACATAAATAAATATATCAACTATCTATGCCGAGGTTTATAGAAAGTCGGTCTTTCGAGTTATTCGGTCTTTCGGAATTTAATGTCGGATTGCAAGCTCTATTTTCAAAGTGGCATATCTTAGCCCAGAATAAACTTTAATAATCGAAATGAAGATTATTAGGGCCCACACATTTTTTTCAACGATAAACAAGTTTATTTATATCACTTGCAGAAAATTCTGGACTTCTACCGCGATGTAGTCGTTGAAGACAGTTTCGACCTCGGCTTGGTTTCTGAAGCAGTGTTCGTGCAGAAAGCTATCGAAATGCTTGAAGAAGTAAGTAGTACGTGGTAGAGGACAGTTCTGGCAAGTATGCTGGGCGAAGCAGAATTTCGCAATTCAGCATGCGTCGCCGCGTAATATCGCGATGAAGGGTTGATGGCTTCCTGTTGACTGAGGCAAGGCGCAGCCAGTGAAGTTCCTGTTGCATCTCGTCGACTTTTTTGACGTAATTCTCGGTTATAATCGTTTCATCCTGATTCAGGAAGCAGCGATGAATCAAACCAGTTGTAGACCACCACACGGTCGATGTGACCTTCTTGTGGTGCCATTTTCATTTTTGGAAATGAAAAGCAACTCCATCACTATCCAACTACTGACTCGATTGTCTCCTGATATCCTAGAGGATCCATCTCTCGTCATACATCACAGTACGGCCGAGAGATGGTTCGTTACGCTACCGCAAAAGAAGGGCTCGCGACACCTCAAAACAGCAGTTTCTTTGTGATCAGTCATTTCATGCGACATCTACCTGTTGAGCTTCTTCGACTGTCCGATTTTCTTAAGATTTTCCGAAGCGGTTTCAGATGATTGCACAGAATCATGCTGCAAGTTCTCGAAGATTTCTGCACGTATTTGCTTCCACCAAAGCCTTTAAATCATCGTCACCATTGGCAGAAATACCTCGCAAGTTTGATAAAAATACCACTTATATTGGACAAAAAAATTCAATTGGACAAAGCAGAAGTGCATAAGATTACCTTTGCGATAATGTATAGCAGTACAGCATTCGAAAGAGAAAGAAACGTTACCCGACACACAAGAAAAACGAAATTATAAATCCGACAGCATTTTCCGGAAGTCCTGATATAAAAGAATGCCCATATTATAATAATTACCTAGACCGACTTTCACTTAACTCGGCGTGAATAATCAGCAAATTTCTTTAGACTGCTCAGCTTTCACGGGGTTGTTATCGGACTTTAGAAGTGTTCACATTATCTTGAAGAATTGAAAATCAACTAACCTCTCCACAAACGCTGAGGTATATGTAATCCGTATGTGCGATGCTCAAACGGTCATTGACGATTGTTTCGTTCCTCATCCACTTCGGACCTAAATTTCTGAAAGTCAGTAAAGTAGCTCTACTATAAGTTTGGAAATGAATGTCACACAACTAGTTGGAATCGCGATCTGATCGACTCCGGTTACACGACCCGAATCGGAGCCAATGCGAAAATCTATGTACGAGGTGAAAGGCTGGGATACACGACTCAAATCAACACGGCTTTAGAAAGAACGATGGCCCCATGACGTTCGGCATAATAAAAATTTCTGTAGCAACTTCTTTTTGACCTCAAGGCAATCTCAGTCAACCAAACTAAGACATATTCACGTTAGTCGTTTAATGATCGGATCTGAACTAATGCGGTGTCATGTTTTTGGTCACCTTATCTTCTTTGATCATCTTGGTGATCATCTTTTTTCCTTTTCCTCGACGTTCCCAACTGTATAAAAAACTTCCACACCATAATTTTTTGCTTTTTTAGCACTTGAGGTTTCATGATTCTACGACGCCAAAAACTTCAAACCTTCGATTTTGGCGACGTGGTCTAGATTAATAGTGAATTTGACAATGTATCGGCACCAATCGCCTTTCGTTTCTTCTATGTCGACAAGCATCTGAAATTTTGTTCTTATTGGAAGGTATCAGTTGAATTTTCTCATAAGAACAGTTTATTTTTACAATTTGCAATGCTTGTAACGTTATACCATCTACAATTCACCTAAGGCACAGCATGACCGGAAAATACGTTCTTTATCGTTTTCACGTCCAGAAAAAGAGCATCTTGAAAGAATTCTCGTGTTTCAGTTACTGGAAATCTGACTCCCAAGAGATCAAATGGAATGGATGAATTTTACGAAAACTAGTCATAAAGCCATAAATCGACGTTTATTGTAAACGTGGAAAGCCTAGGTGCCCTAGATTATGCAATTATGTCGCACGCTTGTATAAGCGAAGTGAGGAATATCAGCTTACGAGTATATGGTCCTTATGGTATACCGGACTTCGTGGCTTCCTCCAGTGAGTATTTGGTACCTGAATGACTTTTTTGACGAAGCCATATCTCTCTCCATTATGTGAAATTGAAACAACGGTGCAAACTGAAGTGGAAGCTTTAGTCTTCGTTTCTTCTAAAGTTCTTCTAAGGTATAACTTCATGTGCAAAACTGTTCTGAAGAACGCTAGTAAAATTTCGTACGTGAAGGATTCATTGAGAATCGCGCTTCAAAAATTGATGCCGATTGGAGATCCGATGTTTCCCAAGTAATTTGAAGTAATGGATGCAACTCTATTCGGAGATACATTACACTGCTTGGAAATACATTGGCTCCTGTACTATTCAATAACCCTTTGAACATTTGAGAATAAGACGAATCCTAGTTTTTAGTAAATTTATTCTTTACCGTTTTTAGAAGGTTCCCTTGAATATCGAAAAGTAGAAGTCCCGCTTCCTCATCAGTGGCCAGTACCGTCCCATTCGGGAGCACAACGCATCCGGTCACGTATTTCAACACACCGCTGCCGATGATCACACTCTCAACGTTTCCCGCCAATCTGAATAAATAGATTGCGAGGTACGATTCTGCCCATCACTACAGCTCATTCTATACCACTACAGAGTTGTTTGCATGAGTTGAACTGACGGTAAAAGAAGGCTTTACAATTTTAAAAGGGGTTTTCGAGTTAACGCAAGCCATGGATTTCTGGCAGCTTCTGATGAAACATTTTCGAATAAGTACGTAGATTTCATAAAACTTCCTCACGGAATATCAGTTACGCGATGCAACACGTCGAAACGATTACTAATGAAAGACACGAAACACGCTGATCGATTTCTCAGAGTAATTTGTGGTGGACCACGTATTTCATGAAATAACGACGATCGACCAGTTCTACCAACTGGGGTGATGAGAACGTACTGCTCTGGGTGAACATGTCTCATCACTACCACCATCCCTTGCTCAGAAAACGAACGAGAATTCACAGAATTTTAGAGAATTGGAAATTTTGCTATTTATAAATATTCCGTCATGTGATGCGTTTACGTTACGTGCATAGATGTTAACCATGGAAAGAATGGAAAGAAAAACAGGACGGAGGGGACACCAACTTCAGTCCAATATCAATCTGTAAAGAAAACTAGACCACGAAGTACCTTGAAGTCCTCCTGTAAAGGACATGAACGAGCTAAAAAGAAGTCTTTGTTATTTCGAAAAGGGATAGCACATCGAATCGGTCTAAATGTCAAAAAAAAACGTAGTAATTGTTCTTAAATCATCAAATCGTTTTATCTTTGTGTCTCATCGGTTATATAAGAGGGGTCACCTTAAGAAATAAAACGCATCTGAAAGTTTAATGCGAATTATCAGATATGAATGTGTCGTTTTCTCGTTCAGCAATCGCGAGGTTTTTAAACAGCATACATTTACTGCCGGGGGGTGGGCGATACTGCTGAAACGTCAGCTAGTGTTGTATTGTATTGTGTTTTTCTATGAAGTAAATGTATGCTGTTTAAAAACCTCGCGATTGCTGAACGAGAAAACGACACATTCATATTCCAATGCCGAGGTTAAGAGAAAGTCGATCCTGGGAACAATTACCAGATAGTTGTAATAGTTGCCGTACATTTACAAAATACGCAACAATCTTTTGAACTGAGGGCAATCAGGCTTTGTAATATGTTCGCTTAGATATGCGACTAGATTTTCACGAAGAAAAAACCAAGGAAACCGTAGCAATTGGGGTAATTAGATCGTCGAACATTTGGATGTGTGAAGCTCTATCTATCTATGAAGTTGCTACGATGTGTGGAGTTCAGTCAACCACCATGGGTTTAAGTATTTCCTTTTTAAACAGCATACATTTACTTCCCTAGAAAAACACAATACAATACAACACTAGCTGACGTTTCGACAGCATCGCCTTCTTCAGAGCCTGCAAGGGTATGCTGATATACAATCTACTAGGCCAAACGCTTCAATGACACAAAAGGACGAAAAACTCTTTGGTAATTACATGATCAACAACTTCTCGAAAAACTCACCGCTTTCTACGTTACGTAACTCACCTATCGTAAAAAGCGGTGGGTTTTTTCGAGAAGCTGTTGATCATGGAGTTGCCATAGAGTTTTCCGTCTTTTCGTAAGTGTCACTGAAGCGTTTGGCCTAGTAGATTGTATATCAGCATACCCTTCCAGGCTCTGAAGAAGGCGATACTGCCGAAACGTCAGCTAGCGTTGTATCGGATTGTGTTTTTCTATGGAAGTAAATGTATGCTGTTTGAAAGCCTCGTGATTACTGAACAAGAAAACGACACATTCATATTCCAATGCCGAGGTTAAGAGAAAGTCGATCCTGGGAACTATTTCCTCTTTAGCTGCAAGAATCACTAGAAGGAATAACTGAGATCTATATGTTGAAAGCAGAGCTGAGAGACTAAAGTAGGAAGGTTCAAAGATGACTACTTCCTCACTTTGCCCTCTAAGTCTGCCAGTGAGCACATCCGGTATCATCACAAAACTATGGGCATATTGTGGAACACAGGTTTATAGAATGAAAAATCGTTTCACACTATTGTTTTGTTGTAAAAATGCATTATCGTTTTCATTCTGGACAACTTCCCCTCTTTTCGACCATTCCCTTAGATAGAAAGAAATACAACAAAAAACTGTTGAATGGAGCTGAAGGCTCAACGCCTCAATGAAACGGAAGAAACGTTTGAAAGGTACGCGTAATGAGTGAATTCCATAAATGTCTAATGTTTTACGTATGTAGAAAAGTGATTGAGAAAGGGACACAAGCATGGCTCATTTCCTCCTCTTTCATGAGGATTATTATCGGCCAATTTTTGTTACACAGCCATTCTGTTAATCACACCCCCTTATTCTCATGCAACACCAATGTCACTCAGCTTATGCTGGCCAGGAATTCAGACTCTCACGTGGGCGCGTCAGCTGTTCACAGAGCCGATAACTGAACCCACACTTTACAACGTCTAGATTTTTAGAACTACTAAAGCACACTCCGCACACTGACGAAAAGTGACATGGTATGCTTGATTCTCTGTCCTGGTTGTTTTTGCACTCCTGAGACTCTCAGGACACAGACCCACGTACCCGCCAATAGGCAGTTCCGGTGGTGGAGGCAGCTGCTCGATATCCTCAATCGTTTTGTACACATCCTCGAACAAACACTTGCGTTGAGCAGCAACACTGAAAGCCTCATCGATTATAGAGAGAATTACCAAATGAGCTAAATGAACCTACTCCTTTCAAAGAGAATTCTTAACAATACGATAACGATTGCACAGTTATGAAAAAGTAGCTCTTTAACGTAAACAGAGAATTGATCGTCCTGGGTAAATTTTATCCAGAACCACTATCCTTACGTAACACATGCACGTACGACATGCATAGATTTCAACCCATTTGGTGCAAAAATAACGGCGGCTTTCAAGCTTGAACCAGCATATCATAACTCACATTGAACTTTATTGAAATGGAAACCACTGCACTCTTCAGCACTTTGACTGCAGATTCTTGTCACAATCTTCAGCTGTAGCTAGTATTTCTAAGATGAATGCAAATGAATGGGGAAATTTTGGTCAGCAGAACAAAATGCTGTACCAATGTAGCGTTAATTTTTACGGCCACTCAAGCCTGCTTGAGAAATTCTAGAAATTTCAACCCTCTCTTGCAAAAATCGTAAGTGCATATCATAGAGGAAAGCTTATTCTCTAAATCTTTCTGGTCCTCAATTCCTCAACTACACGACTGGTGAAGAAATTATCGTCAGCTGTCGAAAAACCAGCTCCAGGTGCTACTTGTTCACTTTGATCCCCCCATTACATTAATGGGGTTAATGTGTTCATGGCGAGCGTAGTTGCTGAGAACCTGCAGTTGATCACTCGTAACCACTTTTTTCTTGGACCTCTTGCACTTAATCAACACGAAGGCATTTTGTGCGCCATTATGATAAAACCCTCCGAACGGTTAACCGCCTCATCGTGCCTGGGAGGTGTTCCTGGGTGTCGGGCTGCGATGTACAGCGTGGGATTCATCCTCTGGCAGTTTCCCAAGCTGAGAAGGAGTCCGGCGTTTCAATCAGGAAGCCTAGCTAAGAGTAAACCAATACCAGGATCCACCACCATCTTGGTATCAAAGTCGCATGGTGGTAAATCTCCTTCTAATCCACAAGAGCTGAGACTCCCGTGGCGGTGAAGACCTGGGGCAGACTTTGGCCATGCTGACCTCGGGACTCCAGGGAACCACAACGGCTTAACAAGCAAATCTCCGAAGAGTGGGGATTGTGCTGGGGCCTGCGCAGCCAGTGAGGACGTGGCATTCAACTATCAAGTAAGTATTATTATAAAACACTTCATCAGCCAATTGGATGCGAAATTTCTGCCGTTCACTTTTGAACAACTGTCGGCTAAAGAGTAAAATGATAAAATAATATGTAAAACTAAATATTACCCTCTGGACGACAGAATGGGATCTTTTTACCTAAGTATTGCCCTCAGCAGTGTAAAACAGCAATGTTGCGCTAATATCACTCATATTTGAAACTACAGCTTCTGCTTAGAAGGACAATAACACTTCCGTAGCAAAACATTTCCAGAAGATTGATTGGTGTTCTGAATTCTTTTTACTTCAGAGCAAACCTTTACAGAAAAAGACAAAAAGAACACTGAAGAAAAAGCAAATGGTAGTGGAATAAACACACTTGTTCGCTATCGATCTTGTATTCTGATCAAGTTTCTGGGATGTATCACAAAGCCTGTTCACAAGGTCTTTCGTCTCCCTAGTGGTATCGTTCAACTTGCGTTCATACTCACCTGAAGAATAGTAAACACGGTTTGAACTAGTGATTGATGAAAGAATACTAGTAAACACGTTGTTTATCGAAGAAATGGTACAGCTGCGATCATCGTAATAACTGAAGTAATCGCAAATATACTGTGTATCTGTAAAACGCTTTTCAAGCTTTTAGAATAAATTACGTAGGCGTCAATACGATTTCGTCCGATTTCCTTCAATAGTTGTTCGTCAGTAGGAATATTTTTCTAAAAATAGAAATTTCTGGTCTCTCAAAAATTGAAGAGCAAGGAAAAAAATATATGATTCTAGATTAAGCCGAGACAGTACTTGAAGTCGTAGGCCAATTAGATCTATTAAAATTTGCTTTCTAAGAATTAAAGATTGCCATTGTTCATACTGAAACATCATTTCCGATTGTTCAGATTAGCTAATCAGCAGTTCTTCCTCAGTGGAAGGTACGTAAAAAACAGCTTTCAAGAAGATGATTCTGCCGAAACATCAGCTACTGTTGTATTGTACGTGTTTTTTGATAGGAAGTGAATGCATGCTGTATAACAACCTCGCGACTGCTGAACCGATCATGGGAATTGTTACAAGATGTACCAACAAGATATGTTTGGCACTATTACTTCGACTTTCCATGAAAAACTATGCTTGAACGGCATTCAAGACGTTATTGAGGAGATAAAAGACTAATCCTGAAGCCAAAACCAGACCCATAAACGAACCAGACCGCCCTAACTAGTGACCTAATTAGTTGTATGACAAAAAGTGAATAGAAGAAGTTTTAAGACCCATATGATATCTGAGGGCAGACCATCTCAGTATCTAAAAAATCGTCATATATACATAAGATGAATGCTGAAAAATTTACTACCTTCTCTACATGACAGCCTAACACCCACTCCACGAGCAATCACGTCGCTTAATATGTTGGGAACTGAGCAAATTGAAAAGAGGAAGACTTGAAATTATCATTGCTAGATCGTGTATAAAATTAATTTCCGATTATCATACAAACCATAAAACAAAGATAAGACGCCGTGTTGACTGACCCCTGCACCATGAAGTTGATTTCATTAAGCATCGTTGGAGGTGATTTCAATGCATATCTGGCCTGTAGAATGACTTGCGGTCAATAGATATATCAAGTCAGTGTTGCTATCCTACCAAAGAAATTTGGTACCAATTCATTGAACCCGGAGGGGTAGAACGATTGGTGAGCAATGGGGGCCGGATTGCAAGATTAAATAGTAAAAAAAAACGAATTACTAGCTGGATTTAACATAATATTATGGAATATAGGGACTCACTTATATCAAAACCGTCGTCATTCTTATCGATGTCGTTGTGATTGCTTATCCCTGTTGACTCCTCTACTAGTCTTGCTTGTGTGGTTTTGCTTTCTTCTTGTTCCTTTACAGCTTCAGCATTGATCTGCAGAGCACTGAGACCTATGGTAACAGGCACATTAGTAGTCGATGGTTCGAACTTCTCAACTTCAACTTGCGCGGAATCTAAGGAACTAGGAGGTCTATTAACATCAATAGAAACAGGAAGCGTGGTGATGGTAGGGCCGAACACGTCTACATTAATATGAACAGCATCGCTTGAAAATGCATCATTTGATAAACAGACGCTATTATTGACGTTTCCTTGCCCATTGCTTTTCTTCGTAGTTTCCAGAGCTTTGTCATCAGACTGCTTCTGAATTGATGTGTCAACAGTTAACGAGGTATTATCTGGATATGGGGCTTCATTGACCAAAGCATCTTTTTCGAGTTCTTTTGGATGGTTCTGATCTGGCTGCTGAGGTTGTTTTTCAGATGAATTATCCGTCGATTTCTTCTCGGAATCACCTGGATAGGATATCATGATACTGGAGCCTCTCTGTTCATTGTTTTGCTTTGAATCTTCTTGGAATTTGTCATCAAGCCTTGGTTTAATTGATGAATCAACGGCTGGCAAATTACTAGTTGGAGATAACGTTCCATTGACCGGAGCTTCTTTTTCTAGTTCTTTCGGAGGGTTCGTACCTAACTGCTGAGGCTGTTTCTCGGATGAGTTATCCGCCGATTTATTTTCGGAATCACCTGGATAGGATATCGTAATATTGAAGCCTCTCTGTTCATTGTTTTGCTTCGAATCTTCTTGGGATTTGCCACCAAGCTTCTGTTTAATTGATGAATCAACAGCTGGCAGAGTACTAGATGGACATGACGTTTCATTGACTGGGGCTTCTGTTTGAAGTTCTTTTGGAGGGTTCTGATGTGGCTGCTGAGGCTGTTTTTCGGATGAATTATCCGTATACTTCTTCTCGGAATCACCTGGATAGGATACTGTGATATTGAAGCCTCTCTGTTCATTGCTTTGCATCAAATTTTCTTGAGATGGCAAAGTGCTAGCTGCATGAGACGTTTGGATCGCCAGAGCTTCTTTTTCTAGCTCCTTTGGCGGATTTTGATCTAGCTGTCCAGGTAGTTTTTCAGTTGAGTCATCCGAAGATTTATTTCCAGAAGCACTTGGATAAGATACCGTAATACTGAATCCTTCCTGATTACTGTTAGGGATTGAAGTTGCTTCGGATTGCACACCTTCTTGTTTCTGGCGTGGCGGTTCAGCACTTGAAGCGCCAGTACTATTTGTACACGCTGGCGGAATGTTGAATGAAACCCTCTTCTCCTCATTCAACCTTTCATTTTCGTTTGCTGACTCCGAGAGCTGTTTTTGAGCGAACTGGTCAGTGCAATTTACTGCGTTGGTCGATGAGATTTGTGGTGAATCCGCTGTTTCGCTTTGTGATGATAGAGTCGTTGAGAATCGTTCCACAACAACGGTGTTATCGTTAGTAGCTGAATGGTTCCCGATGTTAGGTGCTGGCGGCTCCTCACGAATCCATACGATGTCGTCCATGACACACAGCGAGGTAAAATGCGAATTGTTTATGCCACGCCCCTGCCCTCAAGGCGTGTGTCTTTTTGCCACGACATATGTTTCTGAATCTCCAGTTAATCCATCCAATACTAACAGATAGAAAATATGTCACATTTCAAATGGTGGAAATAAAATGGGACTTAGTAGTGTCAGAAAACCACAAGTAACTCTATTAGAGATGACAAACTGTTGTCCCGTCTCAACCTTGATAGACAAGATTTGAGGGAAACTGCTTGTGGTGGTGGCCTCAGAACTCCGTACCTCGACTACTTCGAGTAGCGAGCAGAAATCTAGCTCAACTACCACATTAACCGTCGAATAATTCGAGGTCGACTATGGACCACTATGGTTTGTTTCTCAGTGTGCTCCACTCGCTCAATGCACATTATGCGCACAACAATTCTGGGCATGAAACCTTACTCTTATTATATTGACGAAGCCGTAACTGCAGTTAGCTATGATGCAGCTTCTGATCCACTGCGGTGACGCCGAGGTGACACTAATATTAACATTTTTAGCGTAGGTTGATAAAAACCGCAAACAACAGCTTCCACTAGTAAAGTTACTTCGGGCGTAATCTGAAACACCACCAATGCTCACAATTACCTATTCTTTCCGAGTCTATCGAAATAATAAACCATTGTATTCTATCTTTGACTACGATTATGGAATAAAATCAAGAACATCAAGCTTCTATTCGTATTTATATAGAATACGCAGTACAAGAAGTAGATCTCCTTAGTAGTATTATGACACCTCACTTTCAGCACTGCAACCAATCCTTGTTGAACATTCATATAAACTTTAGAGTGTTTTCCAATATGACATGAAATTGAAAGGACAAGTCGAAGGAGAAAGGAAGGTTCGAATCAAACAAACTCTCATTCTTCCCAAAGCTTGGATACGACAATTTTTATTCAAATTAGAAAGATACTTCACTCGGTGTTTACTAAGTTCAATATGAGATTAAATAAAGCACATTTCATCATTTTGTCTACATATTTGGTTAAACCTAATGTGTAGAACAAACGGAATGTTATAATATCAAGGGAATGAGAAACATTAAAAAAAAAACGATAGGATGGCTAGTATTAGAATACTGGGACAACGTCTACACAGGGATTCAAACTGCAATGAAAGAATATTTGTGCTAGATGGTGCATGCACATCCAACGTGCAAATATGACTTTGAATAAGAACCAGAACGACATTAATAGCACACCAGCATAATGTCTTAAGGAATGTCGTCACCGAGACCAATTGTTACAGTATGTTTATCCTGGAAAACAGCACATCTCAGATTTGTAGGAAAATACAGCACTGAATATTTCAGAATGAGATTTTATCTGGAAAGGTATAATAAACATATACTACACTTGCTAAGCAAAAAAATCTATGTTAACATCTTCATGATGACGACTTCTACAAGGTGTCTTTCAAAATGCGACATTGTGGCCGTTATGACCTCTTTATAGGTGACTTTGTTTCCGATGGTTTATTCTGACGCAAGGATCCCCCTCTCACATTTTTCACGACCAGTCGGGTGAATCGTGGTTAGCCTAGGGAATGAAGAAGAAATGATAAGTACAGAAATAGAATGAACTAAGCTGCAAAACCTATCAAGTGCTGAAATCAATGTGTTCACGTGGTGGTAGGATATCGTAAACAATAGTATATGTACTATTTATGTTTGTGGAGCAACAGATCACTTTTCTCTACAATTCACAACTAGCATTCCTCTAGTTATCGAAAGACTATCGTTTACTGTCAAAAAACCAGTAAGATAATAGCAATCGAAAACTAGACGCCGTCCCATGCCTTGGCACACACGTCGCGAACGTGTTGATATAGTACCTGTTATTCCCATAGCACAAATTGTTGCTAAGAATTTCAACGCATTGTATTCTACAAAAGTTTTGGAGTAAATTGAAATCAATTAAACACCAGAAAGTGAGAGTGAATACAAATTCACACCGACCTTGAAATTTTATGCAATGACTAAAATTGGCTTGGAAGTTGTTCTTTCTCGAATTGTGATTGGAACTGTATCGTAATCAATACTGCGAATTTGGTGGGAAATCGCGAGCAATATTTATAGTGAAAATTTAGTACCTATTGAGATTTCCTAACGAAGTTCAGTGTTAACAGCTCTGTTTGTAGATTTTTTCAATTTTATTTTAACTGGTCCGTCTTCACGTTTACTGTGTGAATTCCACACTTCTCATATCCAATTTGTTTCATCGCATCCACCATCCAGGAAGGTCTTCCAAGTTTTTACGTGTGGCTTCGGTTGCTGCTTGAGGATTTCACATTTCGTCTTTAAAGTCATAGAATGCCGGTCGAGTCGACTGTCACTGGAGTCCTGAGATTGCCGGGTCGGAGCGTTCTCAACTGGATTGCAGAGGTTTTTCCTCAGAAATGTCCAGTACCAATTTCCCGACCCCGGGGAGACGAGAGGCTGAACACGAACATGACTACCAATGTGCTGTCCGCCCCTTTGTTTGTAGATTTACTGAGAAAATATTTATATGCATACAAAATTGTGAACGTAGTGCCAAAGAATACCACATTTCACTTCTTCATTACACCTTCAGACTCAAAATTATGGTTGCACTACTGCTTCCTCGAAATTTGAGAAACTCTTTTGCAATGTTCCTTGATAAATGGGCCTGATTCAATCCCTTACCCAGCAGATCTTCCATCCTCCAACGCGTGACAATCCTCGTTTTCCTCGTCAGAATCTTCACCTTCCAATCCTTCACTTAATGCTAATTGCAAACTATCAATACGTCGCTGCGCTAGCTTGAGTTCCGCGGTCAAAATTTTGTTTGCTTCTTCTAGACGATCGATCTCAACATTCTGAAAACATCAAGCAAGTGAAGAAACAAGTAAAATAACAAGAACGGAACAATAGGACTTACTGAGGCCTTTTTTTTATGCTCTGAGTCGAGATGCCTCTTCTCCAGCTCGCCAATTGTTTCTTGTAATTGCACATTTTCTTTCCTAAAGAGAGTATCTACTCATAATATTGTTCCATCTTAAACTACTGTAAATGATACACTCGAGAGAAACTGCTTTTACAAGCCACAATACTTGCATTTCCAGCGTACAATTTATAATCCTTTTGTAGTCTTCACAAAGTGCAACTTCGACAAATTGCACCTTTTGTGGCAATTATCCTAACAATGCAAACATAACCACTTGTTACAACGGTTGCATCTTGTGCTAGCCTTCTTCCCACTTTTCCGGCAGATATGATAATACCACAATTCGTTATGATCATGTGCAACCTGTAGCGCCCATGATAGGTTGCCGTGTTGGCTAAAGGAGGATTAGAAAACGGCTTTTTAAACAAGACATTTCAAATGACATTAGATCCCAATAGACATTTTTTAAAAACCGGAGTGGAACTCCAGTAGTCCGTCTACCATGGAAGTATAGCAATCGACGTTTGAAAGCGTCGAGCGACGGATCCCTTCATTTCCTCAACAACTATCGGTACTCACGCCCGATTTTTGTCTCTTCCACATGCACGTGTGTTTTCTTTAATCGAATATCGAACATCAGTCATAACTTATCCACATCCATCCAAACCTAAGCACCTGATCTAATCCAGATTGACTGCCATCGGATATTTAATGGTGGTGGGGAACCACAACGGTCGACCGTTCGCCGCCAACCTTATCATCTTTCTTCTCATCTTCACTATATTCTATATACTGTATATATTCATTCTTATCCCATTTAATTTGACTTCACCAAGTCATTGTTTGACCAAAATATGCATTATGTCATTTCTACGATGCATAATAAAGTCGAATGCATAATGGTGTCGCCATCGCGCATCCATCTTTACGCTTTATACTTTATAGAAGCTTTCCGTTTCTCAATGAGTAGAATCACACCTTGCTTTTCTCAGCGCTTCACTCTCCTTTTCACGTCCACAATTCGCCTCTTTGATTTGTTGTTGGAGCGCATCAACTTCGTCTTGTAGTTTAATCACTATAGACTGAAAAACAATAAAACTGACAATATTACGTGGAAAAATAATTATGGCGTAAAAGACAAAAGTAGAATATGTCGAATATTGGTACAATGAACAACCGTATTCAAATAAAGTGTAAAAGAAAATTACCCCTTATGCAAAATGAAAAGATGACTGAAGAAGGTGTTGGTACCTCATGCGATATTTGCACTATGTATATAGCTTCTACACACTGAGGAATGTTGTTGGGTGCCGAATCACTGTGTACTGCAGAGGTTCCTTCACAACAGACTTATCCAAGTTAGTGAGGCGATATCAACTCCAAAAGTCATTATAGTAGATCAATGTTGGAGCTGCTAGCTAACAAGTGAAAAATATATGCGTCCAGTTATAACTAGCCAAAGAAAGTAACCCACAACATGAAGTCCTTCTAAAAGCCTTTGTCGCAGATCGAATGGCAGAATAGGAAAAGGTAACGAAAGTGAATAGACAAATTCGATACAGGATACTGGCATCGGGATGAAGTAGTCATGCTGAGTTCCTGTTCTCTTCGGAGGAAATTGATGCATATAGAAAAAATGGCTGCTGGAGAATGGAGTCGTGTGATCATACGGCTTACGCAGTGATTGAACATATCCTCAAGAGAGAAAATGGTACATTCTTGAGAACACCTTCGTAGAGCCATCATTCTGTACTTAATTCAACTACCTAGTCTAAAATCACCCTAGAATAAAACGACGAAACGAGAGAAAAGATAAAACACGAGAAGAAAATTTTGAGGCCGAGTGTTTATTCCATATAACTGAAAAATCTAGAAATACTACACGGATAACTATGAGCTTCGCATCAAAATACTTCAGATTAGTGTATGATACGCGTTTCTCAATAAGGAAGTTTGAAAATCCACTACAATTTGGTGAATCTAAAGGTGCCCTTCAAGGATACCTGTGAACTGTGGTGTCAGGATTGAGGATAAAAGATAGCTGTTTACGCCAACCGCCGTGATGCATAACTGGTCAGTAGGCTTCTTAATTATTTGGATACTTGGATGGCTCGTCCTCATTAGTTGCGCGGGCCACAACATAACTTCAATTTTTCGGAGCTTTGCTGGTTTAGCTATTGTGTTTCGCTGGAGTCCTGAGGTCAGCCTAGCCAAAGTCTGCTCCAGATCGTCACCAACACAGGTAATTGCAGCCCTTGTGGATCAGATGGAGATTTGCCACCATGCGACTAGTTTGATACCAGGACAATGGTCGATCCTGGTTTTGGTTTACTCTGAGCCAGGCATCTTGATGGAAAAGTGGGACTTCTTCTTAGCTTGGGAGACCTTGCGGGAGGTATGAGTACTCTCGCTTTACATCGCAACCCGACACTCAGGAACACCTCCTAGTCACGATGATGGAGCAAAACCATTGAGAGGGAGCAGGCTTCACTTCTTCTATTTCTTCTAAAGACAGAAGAAGCATCGCGCTTTTTATAGCAGCTCCTTGTGATCATAGTGACATTCACAAAGACCTATATGCAGCCCACCTGGTTGTGTCGTGGCATGGGTCCTTAATATGGAAATGTTAAACTTCTCCTCACCCTGTGCAACCTTTCTGCGAAGACGAAACGCCAGATTTCATCACAACTCGGTTCTCAAAAGATTTTAAAAAAAACGTGCCTTCATCGATACTCTACTCACCTCCAATCGCTGCTTCTGGGCAAGTTCTAGGTCCAGCTTTGCTTCTAGGTTTCGTACTTTTTGCTCACATAGAACAAGTTTATGTTTCTCTACTGTATGTTGAGACAAGAATGCTGCATTTGACGATTCCTCATGCAGCTGCTCCGTCAGGCGCTGCTTGGCTTTCTCAAGTTCAGCGATCTGAAAAACGTAAGGAAACAGACGATTTTGATGCCAGACTTAATAAAATTGATGGGAAAATTATCTCAATAAGTTACTGACCTGCTCCATATAATCTGTTATGGCTACATGATCAAGGTTTGTTTTCTGAACAGCCGCATTATATTTCCTCATAAGTTGTTGGTACTCCTCGTCTTTTTCTTCAATGAGTGCTTCGCTGCTATTTTTCTCTTTAAGGAGGAAAAGTGCACGATCCTCCGCCGCACTTTTTGCCAATAGAGTCTGTTCTAGCTAAATATTGAGTGAACATAAAGAAGAGTAAGAAAATCTATGTATAAATTTGATCAAAAATCGACCTTCATTCGAACTTCATTTAGCTCAGTCTCCAAGCCATGACGGCTTTTCAATACACTCATTTTTGCAGCTTCCGCATCTTCAAGCTGGTTCCTGAAGGAATAATAACAATTATGTGAAGTTAAAGTAGTAAGAACGAATCGCGCAAAGAATACCGGAGATCCTACCTTAACTGACGTAGAAGGAGTTGCGAAGGTGCACATTCTCTTTCGTGAGCTAAGACAGCTTGAGTATCAGCCAGTAGAGCTTGAACTCTTCTTAGTTCACGACGATATTGTCCACCAGAGAACTCGAAGCTGGACCACTTATTTTTTGAACTAATCATTATCAGATTCATATTTCTGATTCTATATGAGAAATACTTTACTCTTAATAAAACACAAATTGATGGCACAATCCAGTGAATTAACTATCACTGTTCATTCAAAGGCTATGAGTGTTGATCAAAGCAGTCATTCAATGTGATGGGCTTCTGATTCGAAGTCGTCTATCCAACTGCTAAAGTGTGTTGCTTTGTTTACGACACCGCCGTCCCTCTAATGAAGATGGCCAGCTGGTATACTAATTTCAAAAAGAGTACACCCACTTCGAAGATCAGCCTCACTCCCGACATCCAAGTATGTTCAAGTTTTATCCTCGCTTGCCCCACTCAACAAAACGAAGAAACTTGAAAAGTGACTATGCCAACATTTGCAGAAGAAAAACCGCAATGCTCCGAGGAGATCAATACAGAAAAACGAACAAATATGCATTCCATAGAACAGTTTTTCCCGCAAGCCCATACAAAGCAAAGTTAGCCCATGAAAAGCTATTCGATCCGATAAAAAAGTGGACAACAAGAAACTCCAGGAACACTTGTTCTCAAACAAAAACTCCAACGTGCAAATACTAAGCGAAGACCATTCTTTTTAAACTGCAAAGCAAAACGAGAACAAACCTTTGCCTACTTATGTCAAACTGCCGCGCCCTCGCTTCTAACACACGGTTTTCTTTAAGAAGGGTTGAATTAGCACTTTGCAAATCGTCCAGCTGATCTTCGAGAGCGCGTAACTACAACAGGAATGATGGAATAAGTAATCTTTGATCCAGCAAAGTCTCTAGACTGAAATCAACTCACCCTTCTTTGGTAATGGCCACGGATCTCGTCCAACTCTGTCTCCTTGCTCGTGGATTCATGGGTAAGGTCGGATTTTAGCCGCTCAGTACCCATTTCCAGACGAGTAATTTGTTGTTCCAACCGGTGATTGGTGTCGACCAAATCGTCCAATTCCTCCTCCTTTGCATATCACTCATGAGTTTATAATAAAACTACAATAATATTCTTAATCTTTTTATTTACTGCCTACTATAATTTTTCACGGCAGGATATCATGTGAAATGCAACTAAGACGATGCTGAGTTATTTGCAAAACCCCGAACTGCAGATGTATGCGGTCGGGAACACACGCTATTACTCTTTCCGAGGGCTAAAGCGTTCACCACCACACCATACAGGTCCTTCGTTTCGCTTCTTTCTCAGCTAATTATATCGACCAAAACCTTCAGCAATCACCCGTCAGCGGGATTGATTTAGGGAGCCCAAACAGGCAACGCAACGAACCCAGTTAAGCTGTGGCCGAAGTTGAAATCACAATCCTAACCTTTTTATTCACTGACTACTATAATTTTTCACGGCAGGGTATCATTTGAAATACATTTAATGGGGTAACAGCGCATTCGTTCTCCACCGCAAACACATGCGGTCCGGAGGTGCAAATATCTCAGTATAATCATAGTCCTTCTTAATATTTCACATGATACCGTGCCGTAAAAAATTACAGTAGGCAGTAAATAAAAAGGTTAAGATTCTGACTTCAAATACAGTCTCAGCTTAACTTGGTTCGTTGCCGATTTGGGCTTCCTAGATCAACCCCGTTGACGGATGATTGCTTGATGACGCTGATCGATAGAATTAACTGAGAGACAGGGGAAACGAAAGACCCACATGGTGTGGTGGTGAACGCGTTACTCCTCGGAAAGGACAATAGCGCATCCGTTCCCCACCGCAGACACCTGCTGTGCGGAGTTTTGCAAATATCTCAGCATCATCTTAGTTGTACAGTAATGTACAATAATATTGTTTTTTTATTTTACACGACTAGCCTTCATATCTACTCTGCGAATCCCAGCACTCTTCGCATTCCATTAGTTTTCCTCGCATTCATCGTTGACAAAAGCCTTCAAACATTTCGTGCGTTGTTTAGGCTTATGGTTGAAGGTTTCATCATCTTCATGAATGTCGTAGAATGCTGGTCGGGTCAATTACCGTTGCACTCTTTGAGATAGCAGGGCTAATGCGTTACCGCGTGGATTGAAGGAGAGCATTGGAGAGACAGTCGAGCTAATACAACGTTTCCTAATGGACTGCATCATTAACCATTGTGCTACTTCCCCACAATAATCTTAATCTAAATATTAGAATATACACTGACCCTTTAGACAAATTGGAACGTATCCAGAAATTTAACATGCGTAATAATATTTGTATAATATTTGTAATATTTGTAGGTACCTGTTCTCTTAGTTTGCTTTCCAATTCTCTTTTTTCCCTTCGTAGAGCAGCCAGTTCTTCACTACTCGCCGTGTCCGACCAATCTTCGGCTTCGCGCTGAAGACGAGCTACTGTAGTTCGCAGTTCAGAAGTCGTAGTCTTCAGATCCTGGAGTTATTACTATACAACTATTACGGAATTTAAAAACAGGGTTTTGTTCATGTGGAAGGAATCATTCGATTCCTACGAATTGGCCGACGTTTAGAGAGAGTTTGCAGAACAGACTAATATTTATATGCAACAGAAGAATCCTGTATGGGAGAAAACAACTGTCGAAGAGTTGAAAGATTCATCCTATTGGGTTTTCAAATGGTGTATTCAAATTGCCATATAGAAGAGATTATTGGATCAATCATAATAGCTTTTGGAAAATACAGTATAAGACCAGATGTAATTTAAAGACTAGATTCGAAAAGATTTTAACTCACACTTGCAACTCGAATTGTGATGGAAGTAACAGATTACATAAGATAAGCCGACTAATGTGCTGCTCATTAATCAGAATTGCAACACTGTATATAGACCTGGCAATTCAGAAGAAGAATTGTATTCTGTCAATACAATCCCCACAAAGGAAACAAATACGGGTTGGAATTCCTCAAGTGTGAAGTGAGGGAGATTATACTTACAACATGATGGTATACGCAGATGCATGCTGAAATCCCATACTGAACATCACAGATGCAGTGGTGATGACACTCATGAACTATTTACAGGATAAAGGCAGACATGAGCAGGGTGAAAATTGGTAGAAATACCATTCTCTTTGCTGAGAGCCTATCACAAAGGAGTATGCAGTTGACCACAACCTGCAGAAAGAACAAGATCTGCTACCAAAAAACGTCATTCAGCCGAAAATGCTCAAAGGCCAGTGGTTGGTAAAACAGAATATGAAAGGCGTAATGGTTCTCAGATGGAAGGATAACGAAAATATCAGAAAAATATAAAAATAACGGATAATGCTGATGAATCCCTGAGGGATACATCATTGCGCGGTTCGAGGTGATTGAATGCATATCTAACCTATGGAACGACTTGCGATAACCTACCGACGTATCAAGTCAGTGCTAATATCTTCCCAGACCACTCTGGTACCAATGTGCCGACCTCGGAAGGATGAACGGCTTCGTTAGGATGGGGCACGGGATCAAACCCACGTGTATTGCAGGGCACCTCTAATTACTGCGCTAAACACAGCCATCAGAAATATATAAATATGTATGTACACATATATATATGTACATACATACGTATATATATACATATATATATGACTCCTTACATCACACGACAAGTCCATCATTCAAAACACGTCAAAACACGAAATTGTTCGACGATACAACAACCAGAAGTTGTTTTCCGTGTCTTCTGTTCGTCTGTTCTCCGCATGTTAGAAAAACTGTCTTCTGTTCGTCTGTTCTCCGCATGTTAGAAAAACAAGTAAATCGTACGCGAAATATGTTCGTTCATCATTTTCTAATATTCCATTCCACCTAAGCTTAGTACATATAGCTCTTCAACCACTTGTTCACGCAGACATACTTAGTTATCGCCTGGAGAACGCACAGGGGATAAGTGCACAGACCTTTGTTCAACAAGCTCAAGTGAAACTTATACCTGTGGAACATAAAGGACTACAGTGTCGCCTCCGACCACTATCCGTGTTCTCGAAATGACCACATCCAGTTGAAGAACGTGGAAGCGTTTGGATCGATGAACATTACAGAAAGTTGAAAGAGTATGGAGATTCGAGATATATTATAAGACATGCTAGGCAAGTTGCCAATAGGTACAGCCAATGTAAAAACTCATCAAAAATATAATTTGTTTGTACGAAGTAGAAATTCAAGCTAAAAATTGCATATTACAGATTGGAAGTGCGCATTGCATATGACTGTGGGCAGATTTTAAATCTACGGAAGAACAGATTGTTGGTAAAACTTCCAAATCCTATGTAAAAAGTGTTGACTCTACGTAGGTGAACTTGCGGAAATTGAAGATTGTTAAATAAATGTTCTTAGGCATAATGTTCACAACATAAGTAAAATCTCATAGAAGCATGAATTGAGAATATGTATTCTTTTGAAAGAAGTACTTTCCACAATGATGAATGCACACTCCATCTATGCATACTCCTGCTGCATTCCATTAATACCTCCATACAAATGGTGCCTGTAGACGCAGCACATTGAAAATGAATGTTTTCAATTGAAAACGTTTACAACTTCAGAGAAAGAATGTGTGATAAGAGTTGGGACCGTGTATCTACGCAATGACAAGTGCTCACGTTGTGTAACTATAGACCTTCTGTGTACTAAAAACACGTCTGTAGAATTCTCCTCAGTAATTTGCCATCTTTTCGTGACGATCTCGTGTCCATTTAAATACCAACGGACAAGCCAGTACCGGCGGTAGCATTCAAGCAGATGAGCAAACTCGCTCGTGAACGTTTTTTCGCAACTAATGAGCTTTAAGAACACTTGCTGTTGGTTTAGCCCCAGTACGAAATCTGTTTTCGATAAGCAATCGTTTATAGAACCCTAGTGAAAAAACTCTGTGCGAAATAAGCCAGCAAAAAGAGTGCGCATCGAAGACAACATTTATAGCTCGTGAAACCCCCCACTGTACAGATTGAAATCAATGCGCATGGTCCCGAAAGGTTAATTAACCTAAAAGAAATTTCATAACCCTCAAAGGACAAAGGAGTTGTCACCACCAAGGAAGTGCCATCTTGATACAATGCAACTAAATCTTTCCACTTCTGTTCAGCAAACACGAGGTGCTATTACACTTCTCCACGCACGTGAAAGCCGACGTCTCGGCGGGTTTCGCCTTCCTCAGAGCCTGGAAAGGTCAAGTTGACAGCAACCCATTCGCCCAAACACCTTCAACACCAAACAGAGAAAACGCTAAACCAAGATTTTAATCACATTGGACACAGCTCTGCACACTCACCGTTTTCTATGAGTCTTCCACTGAGTATGTTGTGTGAAGACCAACCGCACAGAATTCACATGGAGTCGTAAAATGCTCTTCGCATTAAAATAACAGTTTAAATACTGTCCAATATCACGCGTGATAATGAGGCATTCTTCCCTGCGGTTCATTTTCGGATTTCTGAAATTAATCGAGAACCCCTCGAGAGTTTTTCGCGATTGTGTTCTTGATTCCTGCGCGAGGATCGTGAAACGTATTTCAAAGTCCTCCCCGTTATGTCTCTGGGTTCTATGCGTGCCTAGCGGGGTACTTGGTTTATGTTTTCCGGCTAGGTGTTCTCTTATGCGGACACAGAAGTGTCTACCCGTTTCGCCAATGTATTCGTCTCCGCACGCCTTACAGTAGATCAGATAAATATCTGATCACAATAAATCTAACATCCCTATCTATCTATTTATCTATATCTACCTCTAATATCTTATCTGATCTCCTGTCTGGAAAGTACTACGCTCAAATAAGAATAGTGAGCGGGTCAGTGTTGATTTGCAACTCTATTAGGTCTAATGCTAAAGTAGCTTTGCGAAGAAAATTCGAAGA